CACAACCTCATCTTAATTCTATTCCAATTAAGTTTGGATCAAGCATTGTGAGGAGTCATTCATCTTATTTCGTTAAAACAAACCAAAGATAGCATTTCGACCTTCATTGCCATTTTGGCAATAATTTTAACTTTCTGACGATTTTCTAATGTTAAGTGTCCGGAGACTTTTGATACCCCGCTGTACAAAATATATGATGGTCATAAAAGGGTCTTTTACTTTTCTAATTTGTAAAATAATTATTTCCATTTGTAAGTTAATCTGTTAACATTAATATTTAGGATGAGTGATCTTTAATTATAAAATTTATCAAATGATCTTTTTTTGATAATAAAATTCCTGAAAACCTTGGGAACAGATTATTGTGTTTTGTATTTAACATCTTTAGTTCGATATTATTTGGATAAATGCATTCAAAGCTGACACAATCTTTACAATTCGCAGGTATGTTTTAGTTCGAAAGACGGAAATAATTTTATTATTAGTAAATAAATAATTCAACTAGTAACATGGCGGCCCCCCCCTTTTTTTTATAAACGTTTGCAACCGCATAGAAAAATTTAGATATTTTATACCTGCTTTACTGATCTGATCAAACATTTAAATATAGCGTATTTAAATTAAGTGAATTCTTATGGTTGATTGGTTCCTTGAATTTTCTTGGCGACAATAAGTTTTTTACTATACCCGGTCTTGCCGTGTTTTTGTTGATCGATCGACGGGATCGGCTGTTCCGAAATTAGAATATCACATGCGTCAATTGTTGTAGAGAAAAAATTTTATTTTATTTTTGGTAGCCAACAATGTGAAACTGAGTAAAAAATATTTATATTGTGGCTTTGAAATTCCAATAACAGAATCAAATTTCCCAGTTTCTTTAAAAGGAAATTAAAATATAAAAATTAAAAATAAACGATTGTATAACAAAATATTTCGAAAAGAGCGTAATCATATAATGCTTGACCTATTAACTTCAATGAAATTTGCATGATGGAAAATAATGTGGCTTAGCGTTTTCTAAAAGAAATATAAATGTACCGGGTTGGAACTAGATTTATGGGATTTTTAAGATGTAAGCAAAACACAATTTCAAACGATGTGAAAACCAATATTTGGATAATAAAGATTAGCTTTTCTTGATATGTATAAAATTTTAAAACTCGTGGCGGTGTTTAAAAAAAAGTTTTGATTGTTGATTATTTAATATCCTTATTTAGATTCATTTTAATAAATAGTGTTTTTAATATCTGTGAAAACTTCCAAGAAATCACATAATTGGGACTATTAAAATGTTGAGACAAGGGGGGCTTAGAGTTCATTTTTAGTCTTATTACATATAATTAGGTTGAAGAAAACCCGATCACGCAGATTTAATAATTATGGCTGTGTAATAAAAAAAAAAAAGAAAAAAAAAAAAAAAAAAAACCTCCCAAAATCATCAAATTACAAAGCCACAATAATTTATTAAAGTTTGGGAACAATTTTTTTTTTTTTTAAGGAATTTAATTATATAGATTAAATTTCAGGTTATTTTTATTTTATTTTTTTTTTTTTTTTTGCATCAAAATAACAAATAAACAGGTTTAATTTAAAATATCTCAAGCGATCAAGTTTTTTCTTTAGGTGAAAATCATTATAAAGAGCAAATCGTAACGTTTCTTTCGTTTAACACACACACCTCATGAAATGTTCGACTTTATCTTCTGATAAAGTACAAGTTGTCAAAATGAATTCATTCGTTTTTTTGATCCTAAACTAATCATTGTGGTAAGTAAAAAGTAAATTGTTGTGTGTATATATGCCTTTCCTTTTAAACAATGTCAACTACAATTTTATTTTGTTCTTGGCATTTTAGACACGTATTCAAAAAAAAAAAAGGATAAAAAAATGTGTATAATATACGATAATTTCATCAGATTTTTCTTCATTTACAATTAAGTTTAAAAATTTGATTGAGAAATAAAAAGAAAAATTTCAACGCGTTTCGTCGCATTTTGTGAATAAAAAAAAAACTAATTTTTTTTTTTTTTTAAATTTATTTAATTCTCCTCCCCATTCATTTTTTTTTTTTTTTTTTTTTTTTTTTTTAAAAAAAAAAAAAAAAAAAAAAAAAAAAAAAAAATGGACTATATTAAAATTCGTCGCATTTTTTTTTTTGTTAAAAAAAAAATAATATATTTAAATGTTTATTATGTTCATGTAAAACAAAAAAAAAATTTTTCTTCTTTTTTTTTTTTTTTTTTCACACTATCCCGCACACTTTTTTTTAAAGTAAATTGTATTAATTTTTTTATTCTTCTTGTTTATGTGTCCTTGTATTTTTTTTTGTATATACCCTAAAAATATCTCATTTTGTATAAAATTCTTTTCTTTCTATGTTTTTTATATTCTTTTTACGATTATTTATAAACCTTCATTGTAATATCTAACTAAATTTTTTTTAATCATTTTTTTTAATCACCTAAAAAAATTTTCTAACAACTTGTATATATGCTAAGCTTAATCACTTTTTCAAACTACAAGAAAACTATTATGTAACATTCATACCCTATAAATTCAAATGTATAATTAAATAAAAAATATGAAATCATTAGATTATAATTAATTCCTAAGATTTTATCGTTCGAATTTTACGTGAATCCTTATCAATTGAATTTTGATGCTGCGGGCGATAAGATAACGTGGGCAAGTTATATAGTTTAGTTTTACAAAATAATTTATTTGTGAAGTAATATTTATTTCTTTATATTTTAAGCATAAGAAAAGTTTGTCCTTTGAGGCTGATTCAAATTATTTTTTTTTTTTTAGAATTTAAATATTTATTTAACTTGCAAAATTTAACATTAAAAAAAAAGAAGTCACGAAATGACAGACTAAAAAAAAAAAAAAAAAAAGGTAAATCCAAAATATAAAAATCATATTTCGCATTTTTATTGTTATTTATAATTTATATAACGGTAAAACTTATAAAAAAGCCTTACTTATTTGGATTAATTCCAGGGTTTTGGCAAAGGTGATAAATTAAGATTTTAATGTTACGATTAGATGAATTAATAATTTAATCCTTTTGAGGCAAATCATATGATTTATCAGTTATCTAATGTATTACAACACTTAATCTATAAAATCAGACTTCAAGGAATGGTCATTTCTAAACTCCACCATTTTTTTTTTTTTTAAAAAAATAAAAATTTGGAATGGATGAAAATGAAATCAATTTAGATGATTTAGACATTTCGGATAAGGAAGAATTTCTCGAATTGTTGAATGATCCTCAGAAATTTGCATTAGAAATATGTCCAGTTGAAATTTGGAAACAAATAATTTCAAATGTTGAAGACGTTCCAACATTAACTTCTTTATATTTAACATGTTCAACGTTAAGAGAAATAACAAAAGATCCATTATTAACTCAAATGGCGACCAATCCCCCGTTGGACAAATTAAATAATTATACCAAAACAAATCATCCCGAGTTCACCAATCAAAAGGATATTATTTTGAAAATGCATAAATTTATTGATATAGTCGTAATTGAAGGAAAAGTTGAGCCATCGAAATGGACAGATAATATGCAAGAATGGGATGGTTATGATGAATCATTGGATATTTGGATAAATCAAGATGGTTTTAGAAGAGAAGTTGGCAGAAAAGGTAAAGCCAAATCTAGATCCCACATTGAATGGGAGAAGGACGTCGAAAATGAGAAAAAATTATTGAAAAGAGAATTGGCGAAATGTTGGGCTATTGCTGGAAAGCTATTTCCATTTAGGTAAGCTAATCAATGTAACTTCAAATGATTCATTTCTTTCATGATGACTAGTCAGAGGTTAATCTAAATTTAGTCATACAGAAAACAGAGAATGGAAAAAGAAGCGTCAAGAAAAATTGGCGGTCAAAGATAATAATGAATCGTCTTCTAAAGAAAAAGAAAAAGAAAAAGAAAAGGATAACAAGACAGATTTTTCACAACAGGAGCATTCAATGCGACGACAACGTCATAAAATGAAATCTGCTTTGGTACCTCAAAAGCTGCCAAAAGCCCCAAGACGTAAGGTTTCAGGAAATAAAGCATCACATTCCCTAAATTCGGATGTCACGTGGAAATATACACATGAAATTCGTAATCAACATAAACCTTCAAGACCAAATATAGGCAAAGGTGAAGAAGAATTTAATCGGAAAATCTTGACAAATTATGTCACACCGAAACATTTTAACTCCGGTGAAGGATTTGAAGGGTTATCACATGATGTTTTAACCATCGTGATGGTTAAGATGTTGAAGTTATTTGATGATAGCGATGAGAGAGTTTTAAAATTTCCAAAAGAATTAAACGGCTATCAACGGAAACAACTACATCATCAAGCTGAAATTCGTGGATTGAGAAGTATTAGTTTCGGTGAAGGAGAAGGCAGATTTTTGGTCGTTATGAGAAAAGATGTTGAAATCTTTCGTTAACAATTATAATTTATAATATTTAACTTATTTATTTGGTTTACCATGTATTTAAATAAAAAAAATTTTACTTTTATGGGTGATCATTCATGCACTTTTTTTTTTTTTCTTTCAAACATGTGAACGAACAAAGTCATTTTATAAATACTGCGTTTCGTACAACTTCTGGAAAAAATAAAAAGGTTATACGAAATGCGTGGAACAATTGGAATGGCTGAAAAAAAATTTTTTTTTTTTTTTTTTTTTTAATTCAACAAAAGTAATAGTAATAGCTATATAGGAAAGATGATATCATAAAAGCTTTGTTTTCTTTTTTTTTTTTTTTTTTTTTTTTTTGTTTAGTTTTTTTTATTGTTATCGATATTATTGTCATCATCATTTTATTATTATTATTACTTTTTTTGTTGATATTTCATTGAATGCCGTAAAACTTTGTTTATGATCCGTTTTCGGTTTTTTTTCTCTCTATTGATTCACAAAATTATATCAAGTATAAAAAGACTATCACCATCATTGAATTTGCGAGAACACTTTGAGCAACCATGACAGATTGTAATGAACGCATTATATTAAATGTTGGTGGAATCAAGGTAAATCAGACACATTCTTTTACGATTTTATAATTGATCTCTTCTCTCTTAAATTCAACTGGTTTGCTTTTTACAGTATGAAACGTATCGATCAACCTTGACGGCGTATCCAGATACGTTACTTGGAACGATGTTTCAACAACGTAATCACGCACTATTACACCCAATGAATGACAATGAATATTTCATTGATCGTAACGGACGAGCATTTCATTATATACTAGAATTTTATCGCACAGGAGAGATCCTTTGGCCAAATTGTGGAGATGATGATGGTGAATCGTTATCTACAGCAAAGATTTGTTGTGCGCTCGTGACCAGAAAAGAACTTTCGAAGGAATTAGATTATTTTCAAATTCCAATACCAAAAGAGAAATCGATTTCTCCTGATAACTTCAATATAAACGTTGAAGATGAATATAAAATATTAGCAATAAAATTAGATGGGTTTGTAAAATCGTTATTGGAATCTATATGTTTAGCAAGGCAAGATTATCAAAATGTTTTAAACGTAAAATTCTATGATCGCCTACCGACCAAAGATGCACCAAAATCCATTCATTTTCAGCCAAACATTGATAAATTATTAAGACCTTATGTTGGAAGTGGTTATTTCATGCTCGAAATGTTTTCCAAACCTATCGAAACTCGTATTAAAAGTTGTTTACCTGGAATAAGGTGGAGCCTAGATAAGAGGTTTAAATATGAACCAGAACCAAATTATTATGATTTAAAAATCATTGGAAATGATTTTTTTGATAAAAATATAATTCTTAAATATTCTTGTCTTGATACAAGATGAGAACTTTTGTTTATTATTATATTATTAATATTATTATTTTTTTATTTTTTATTATAGCTTATAGAATAGATAATGGTTTTTCAAAAGATTTCTTATTTACTGTATATCTTTTAATTTCATTAATTACTACTTATTTTATAATTTAGAGTAAACCTAGAATTCATAATATTTAATAAAACTTACATGAATTTAAATATATCTTATAATTTTTTTTTTAAAAAAAAAAAAACCCAGAGAACCCGTAATTTTAGCTATAAAAAAATTCGGAATTGACTTATTTGGCGCAGCACTAAATTAACTTTAATTCATGTATAACAATGCAAATCATAATTTTTTTTGAATTTGTTTTACTTCTGTAACCTTATATGAAAAATTCACGAAAGCGTTTTTTTATTTATTATCATTATTAAAAGCACACTAGCTTGCATTGCATTCAAAAGTTCGCGTCAAATTGTTCGAAGCAATGGTACTTATGTAATTTAGCAATTTTTTTTATTGTTAAAGGTACATTTTTTTTTTAATTATTTTAGAATAATAGATGATGGCGGCCAATTATCCTGTCTTTACTGTGCCACATTTGTTTATCTATCGTTAAAATAACCCTCCAGATTAGGAGTAACGAATAATCTTGGTGTAAGAAGAAAAGGTGTACACCGACCGATTTAGTAACATTCAGTTTTCCAACCAAGAAGGAAGGATTGTAGAGAATGGAATGTCGAAGAAGAATTTCATGTATAACTCATTCGTAACTTTAGCTATTTACATAAAAGAGATTGAAGAAGTTAAAAACGTTATTATTAACAGTAATTGCGAAAACTATTTATTTACATTTTTAACTTTTTCAAATTCGTTCACTTCTTTATCTAGCTAAAACTTTATTATTAAAAATAATGAGTTAAATTAATTTCTCCGATTCGGAGTACAAGAAATGGTGTGGACATAAACATTTTAAGTGGTGCATATTTAGATATTTTTTTTTAACCTTTGCATTGCATTAGATTTAAGCGTTTTTTTTCTACGAATTTGTCTTTCTCTTTTATTTCTGTATGTTTAGGTTGGAAGTTCCTTTTACCGCTTCGCGTAATGATAATCTTTCTACTAAATGACATCCATCAATCATGAAGATTTGAGCAGATAAATTAAACCGCGAAGCTTTTGTCAAACATTTTTTTATGGTGGAGCATGTTCAAACCTATTTTCTTTTCCAAATCATGAACGGAGTGCTAGCGAAAAAGATAATGGTTCACATATGACTATCATCAACGGAAAAATACTTCTCTTTGAGACCTGTGAACCTTAATCAACACGAGTTATTTATTGCTAGGAGGAATCAGCTTTACGCTGGTCCTCTGAATTTGGATGCATGGCTTATCACAGCGCTTATCCGCTCTTCTTTTCTTATATAGGGAAAAAGCATTCAGAGAAGATACAGTATCTGGAAAATCGAACGGTATGAGAATCGTCAGAAATTGGCGCTTACGAAAATTAATGATCATTTTGAATTGTCCTCATCAAAGATTGATATGTCGCAGAGTCGACATCAGTGTTATCGACCGAGTAAACGACCTTTTGAACGTTCTCATATCAACAGGACAAAATCCACATGAAGGAGTAAATAAAAAGCATTTAAGGTTTAAGGTTTAGAAACAGCTAATTGTGAAATTTTTTATTCATATATTTACTATATATATAATTATTCGAAAATAATACTGTACATCCGTAATATACATAACTATCAATCTTCGTAATTTAAAATTATTTACCCACCCAATTTTTAATCCATTCTTTAGCTTTATCAATAACAATTTTTTCTTTCCTTTCTTCTCCAACAATTTTCTTTAAAGCATCTTCAGCTTTTTCATGACACATTTCACTTTCATCCTTAAATTTCTCAAACAAGACAACTTCCAGATAAGCTATAGCAATACAAGTACTTAATATTCCTTCAATTTCTTCAATATCGCCTAATTCTTTTTTAATCTCTCCGATTAAATCATTGAAATCATTTACATCTTTTTGATAAAAAAACTTATAAAATGACTCATTTGGCAAGAATTTACCATCAAATGATTGTAGACTTAAAAATTCATATAAATTTTCAATTTTTGGTTCTCGATGTTCGACTATAACACTTCGTTTACTAATTGGAAAATCACGTTAATGATGGAAAAAAAAAAAAATATTGTTTCAGTTGTATACAACACGCGAGAAACTTATTCCTGACCTTTTCATTTCCATACTTGATGTCTGTATACTACCAATTCTACTACCAAATGACGCGCTAGCTGGTGCTTGTGAAAACATTAAACGACTTGGACTCGCTGAAGAAAATGATTTTGCAAATGAATAAAATTATAACGTAATAACAAATATTATTAAATCAATGTATTTTTTTTTTTTACCCGTCGCAAACATAGCACTCGCACCCCTTATCATATATTGCTGAGGAACTTGTCTTTTCGGGATTGTCTGAGCTTCGGATACTGTTTCATTATTTCTTTCATCAATTGCAATAAAACTACAAAATAAAGTCATAATAATATTTCATAAGAAAGAAATGTAGATACATATAACCAAAATATATTATAAATACCTTGTATGTTTTGAAACTAGATTAAAAGTTTTACCAAGGTCAACAATATGATCTTTAACCAATGAAGCTGGAATATGTTTACCAGAATTTTTAGGATGTTTATGAAGAAATGATTTTCCATCATCAAGATCTTGAATAAGTTTTCTCGCCGCTAATCTATGAATCTTTAAACCTTGCAAAGTAACGGGATCCAAGGAAATATCAAGCTTCACGGGACCATCTTGAGAAGTGGCATTTATAGTGATAACTCGACGCGGTTCAATATTTTTCTCCAAAATGCAATATACAACGAAACGAACATCAGGATAAATAGGCGGAATTAAATACGGAGCTTGTCGAACCTTTATATCAGTAAAGATATTACTTGGAGGTGATGGCGGAGGTTCCGTCTTGTCGCTATATAAACTAATAATAGGTTTATCTTCCTCCATCGGAATTACTTCCTTTTCGGTTGACTCCGAGAAATCAACATCAGTCCAAGTAATTTTATAATCTTTGATCGGTGGTTTTAATGAATTCTTCAACATTCCAATAACTTTTTTATCCATCCTTTCATTAGTTGTTACAAATTGGGAATATCCTCTACCGACACGAGCAACAGATTCGACCAAATCATGAGAAACAGAATCACCAATTCCTAACGAAAAAATACGTAAATCATCCTTCTTCTTTTCTTCCTTTTCACGTATAAGTTCTACAACTTCATCAACATTATAAACTTCACCGTCTGTAATTAGAAATACAGATGTTGGCATATCATCCCTTGAATTTTCAAATACCCATTTTAATGCTTGAAAAATTTCCGTTCCACCATAATTTGAGGTCATTGTTTGAGCAAGTTCTATAGCTTTAGATAAAGATGTTTCGGAATAAAGTTGACTTTTTGGAAAAAGAGAATCGTGATGAGATCCAAAAGATACTACATTAAAGTAACAATCTCCTGGGAGCGAACGTAAAATTAACTCAAGTGCCTGCGCAGCTTTTTTCATAGGTTCAACGCTCATTGATCCCGACCTTTATTCAAAAGAAAAAAAAAAATGTTTAGAAAACATTCTTTTTTATTTTTTTAAAAAAAAATAAATTGACAGTTATGTTACTTACCTATCAACAACAAAAATTAATTCGGTCATGGTTGAATTTAACGCGAATTTTGGAACCAAAGTTAACATAACACAATTGGTTTGAGTTTCAGGATTGTATTCAACGAAAGCCCTGAAAGAATTTTTTTTTTTGTTTTAAAATAAATTTCAAGAATACAATTTTATCGGCATAAAAAATATTTACCGTGGTTGATCAAGATTTTTACTCTTAACCACAAGAATGAAATCCTTTTCCAGATAAGTAATCTGTTCTGCCAAAGTGATTTTAGAGATTTTAGGATTTTCATCGATATTCATTTCGGTAGAAATATTATGTGAAGGTGATTCAATATTTTGAATAATCGAAGTCATCCTACAAGTAACTGTAAGATCTAAATAATAATCAGCTTTATTAGAATAAGAGACAACATCGGCCTGAAGTATTTTCCCATCATGTGATGATGATGATGAAGAACCATATCTTGGCGCGATAAAAGTTGGAAGAACAAAACGAATCTTTTCTGTTTCAGAATCATGTTTAAGTTCGGTAACGTATGTAATCTTTATGACTACAATTTGCCCGGATGTAATATTCCCAACAGAACATTGAAATACGTCTGATGACTCTGATTCTAACAAATAAGCACCATGTCCTTGCTAATCAATTATAGAATATTATATGGTAAATTTTCATTTCATCTTTTTACATGCAAGAATATCGTTGAGAAATGTGTTTTTCTACCTGAATTGATTCAGAGTATTCTTTAGCAGCCTCTTTAGCTTCTTTAACGACACCCTTTACTTTTCTTTGTCCATCAATTTCCGCTTCAAATCCGCAGACAGCCGCGGCTTCGTAAATAGGAAACTTATAAAGAGCTTCAATGGTATCCTTTTCGACATTTTTATAAGTCTGGCTGATAGTAACTATACAAGAAGAACTTAACATTATAGGATTTACATCATAATATCATTAAAGTTACAACGTACCTTCACTGATCATATCAACGACTGAAAAAGGAGTTATGTTATTGATTGTTCGGAACAGTATACAGAGTAATGTATCAATGAGAACTTACTATCAGCTTTAACCACAACATTTTGTAAAGGAATTGGCTTCACTTCTTTTTCAATTATAAAACAAAGACCGAAAATTTGCATATTGGGAAAAAAATTATATTCGAGTTGGATCAAAATCCAAACACCTTTTATATCAACAAATCATGTGCTTTTCATTAAGCCCTATTTGGTCGGGCGTACTATCAAATTTCCCAAAGAAATTAAATTCAGATACAGTGCAAAAAATGACTGCGGACTGTGAGATATTACCGGTTAGAACGTGTGAAAAAAACGAGTCTTACTACCCTAATTGATCGGCACTAAAATGGACGTGCCAGACCTAAAAAAAAATGACATCATTTGCAGGATACGCACCTTTCCAATTTGTCATTAAATAGCAACAAATGTAGTCATTATCTCGTGTCGAATTAACATGTCACGTGTACTACGCGAACTTTAATGTATAAGGTAGAATTTAAATTAATGATAACAATAATAAAATAAATTAGTTTTCCTCACGGACGTTTCTATCGACTCTAGTAAAACATGCACCTTATAATAAACTCTCGATTATTTTAATTATTCTACCTGCAAGACTGATGATTCACTTCGTGCGCGTTCTACGTAACGGATCACCAGATCTTTGATAAAAAAAAAAGGTTCAAGAATAAGCCTTGTATTATAAATTGGGTTTTCCTGTTTAATTTGGATGTATTGGGTGGTTCTTCTTGGCAAGTTCCGGGCAGCATTTTTTTTTTTTTTAAAATTAAAAAAAAAATAAATAAAAATGAAAGTTACCATAAAAAATATAAATAAAAAAATTTATATTATAAATAATAAAAATGATAAAAAAAATAAAAGTTGACTATTCCGCACCTTAGAGTAAACTAATCGATCCAAGTATGCTATAGTGGTTTTGGCGGGATTTCGAATTTTTACTTTATCAACTTATTCGTCGTTCGAAGACAATCTGCAAGTTTCAAGAGGTTACAAGTTCATCGGATAATTCATCGTTTGTTTAATACTTAAAAAAGATATGTTACATGAAATTATGCAATTGATTTTTAAAATTTAGATTATTTATTAGCATAACTTTAATATTATATAAACGATAAAAAAAAAACTCGAAATAAAATAAAAAAAAATAATTGATAGTAATAAAAGATATTGATGATTATTATCCTTAACTAGACATTTAAAAGATAGGAAATAAAATTATAAATATTAAATATAAACTAGTGACAAAAACGATATTTATCATTCACTTAAGGTATATGTTAAGTCCCAAGTTGCTATACCTGAATAGGTACCAAAGGTATCTACTTTAATTCCTGTTCTTTTAGATTGAAGATGCATAATAAAAGGTACACTTATCATTGCCTTCTTAATAGTTGCTGTAGCAATTATTTTTGCTTTTAAAGGAACTTTGATAGGAAAGTCTGCTACATATGTCTTTTTTGATTCTGTAGATTTACCAAAAATCCAAATCTGATCATTTTTAGCTTCAATATTAATTCCATTCTCTCCTACACTTGGAATTTCAGCTTTAAATTCCATTCCTACTTTTACAGTAAATCCATATGAATGTTCAAAAATTGACATATGAATTTCACCCTTATCCATTTTAAAATTAAATGTTTGTTTTAAATAAGTATCATTCGAAAAAATTTGTTTCATAAGTACAACTGATGTTGTGTTTTTAATTTTTCCTTTATCAATGAGATAATTTATACTTTCAACAATCATATCTTCAAATATAAAAATCCAGTATTGTTCATCATCTTTATCATCGCTTGGTTTATGATAAAATTGTGGATTTTCAGAAAATCTAGAAAAAATGGACCATTTGGTAACATAATTCTGAATTCTAAAATAACCAAGATGTTTTCCTGTTCCTGGAATCAAGGTCCAAAACTGATCATCAAGTTTATTATCGCCTGTATAATGAAAGAATTTTGGTTCAGCAGTGAATCTAGAAAAGATGGACAATTTGGAATAATAATTCTCAATTCTAAAATATCCTGAATGTTTTTTTTCTGTTCCTGGAACCAATGTCCAATATTGATCCTTATATTCTGCATTATCTGAGTGATGATACAATTGAGGTTCTGGAGAAAATCTAGAATACATGACCCAGTTGGTTTGATAATTTTGAAGCCTGAAAGTAAGTCCCTTTGGAGGTATATAAAGCTCCATGTTATCCCTATTATAAGCAAATTAATTATGTTGTTATAATGTGTACATTATTATGAATAAAAGATTTGAAAATGTAAAACTTTGAAGATTTACTGAGAAATTTCTAGAGATATTGTCAAAAGGTGTTATCTTCGAATAAATACCAATTTTCCTTATTTAAAACTGCAGTGAACAGAAAAAGTGGAGAGAGAATATTAAGTAATTGATTTAATGATCATAATAATCGTAATTCGTTTTTTATATAATCAATGATATAATGTTTTAAGGACCGAAATCTTTTGTTTTTATGTGTTTCGTAATCGAACTGCATGGAAAGATAGAATCCCTTATTACAAAATTCTTTTAAAAACATCAATTTTCTACTTGATTTAGAATATAATAAAGTGTAGAATAATAAATTTTGATTTATTATATTTAATTTTATCGTAACACAATATTTTAGTAAATTTACAGTACCTTTAAATGAGGCTTCAATAGAAGCGATCATCAAACATAATAATTACAAAGTTGGTGCGTTTCAGTTAACGAAGCCCATATGATGGTAATTTATCTACAATCACAATCTTGTCTGTAAAATACAGTATATATATATTAATAATACAAATTATACAAATTATATACAGACAATCTAAGCATATGGATTCGAAGCTTTGCTTCTTTTTATAGGCGAAGAAAAATGTATTGGCGGTAGTAATGGCAATGAAAAGGTTGTATTGGCAAAGGAGAAAGTAGTGGCAAAAGAAATGATAAATTTGACGGTGATTGTAAAGATGGTAACGGTGATGATATCGAAATATAATAATTTCACATGTCACCCGATTCATGGTTAGATTGCGTACATCTATGTGATAAAATTTTTATAGAGTTTGTTTTACGTCGTCTTGCCTAATATTAAAATTTACACGTTCTTGGCTATGAAGATTAAAATCTCTTGTTAATGATGGGGCCGTTCTCTTTCTTTTTCTAATTCCGGGTGAATCACGATCATTGCAGTTCTATACCCTTGTAAAGTCTTCAAGGCAGGATGCAAGCGCAATTCAACATTACATTCTGAATAATCCTCCTCCATATGACACCGGTTACTAAGTCAGCGATACTAGCATTTTAGTTCATCGAGACCAGAAAAGATTCGATGATGATGCTCCTTTTGCAGCTTGGTATACTGAAACTGAAACAATATATGGGGTTGATTGCTAGGAAAATCAGGTTCCGGAAATTTTTAACAAAATTGAGATTTTTATTGCATTTTAGTTTTTGATGTTATTAGATTAAAATGCATTAAGTTCTTAATTTTAGTCAAAAATTTATCGGATTCTGATTTTCCTAGAAATCCTCCCATATGTTATTAATAATAGTATGAGCGGAATTTCATTAATTACTTATTATTTCACATTTCTGGACCAAACATTGTCAAGATATCAATGATGTCCTGATTGCAAAGTAAGAAACCATGATAAGATTTTTTTCGACGCTCTTATTGCCAGTAATTTTCATTAAATTAGTGTCTCCAGGAGTAAAAGCAGTGGACATTATGAAAAATTTATGAGAAAATTTAATGGAAAAATGATATAACGCGTTAACGCGTATTCTGTTTGACGGGTTATACCAATCAATAAAAATGTCGATCAAACTCCCGTTAATGTCAAATTTTGTCAGTAACAATTTTTTATAATTCAAATATATAAAAGGTATTATTATCAATAAATTTATGATAATAGAATATTAATTTAAGAATTTTTAGCTAATATTTGTAAATAAGCTACAATTTTAATTAAATAACAATTAACTTATTTTACTAAAAAATTATACTTTGATATGAAATTGATATTTTTGAATTATAATAGATATAATATAATGATGTAATTTATTATATTTGATTTATTCATAATAATTAGCTGACTTATTTTTAGCATTGACTTTTTAGTTTTGTAAAGAAGTATGAAAAAATTTATACTTTACATATAAAAAAAAATTTTTTTTTTTTTGATAATTTCTTCCTTTTTTTATTGCAAAGTATTTATATATAATAATTGTATTTGAAAATTTTAATTTTTATTTATAGCATTACAATTATAAATAAATAATTTTATTTCATATTATTTATATATTAGTATTTTATTATTTATCTTTGTAAACTTTTTTTAACAATATACTTATAAAATAATAATATTTGATAAATAGATAAAAACTTTTTATACTACAAAAATTTATTATTAATAAATATATTAAATTAATAAAAAATATATTTTTTTTATATATTTTTATTAATATTCTTAATTTTATCTATATTATATTAAAAAAAAATATATATATATATATTAAAATTCTATAATAAATTATATTTTTTTTTTAATTTTAATTATATAATTTATAATAGTTTTAAAATTAATACAGTGATACTTAATTTTTTTAACTTAAAAAGTTTATAATTTATTAATTTAAATGCTAAAAATAAGATTTTAATTTTTTTAATTCTTAAAAAATGACTTATAATAAAAATTTAACATATAATTATATAATAAATTAAAGTATTAATAATTTAAATCTATAAATTAAAATAAATAAATAATAGTTTATATTATAAATTAATATCTTTCAAAATTTTCATTATTTAGTATAAGTATCTAAAAATTGAGAATATCATCTTTTGAAATTTGATTTATAGCTCATAATATATAATATTTAAATATATTATATTTAAAAATAACAAAATTCCTTTTTTTTATATTTAAAGTGTAAAAAAAAAAAAATTTCAAAGTTTTTAAAAATTAATTTTGATATTTTATATTATAAAGAGATTTTGACATTAAAAATCTATAAATTTCATTGATAAATTAATTATCATCAGATGAAAATCTGATAATAGAATTATTTGAGACTTCTGATAGAATTTTTGCTATTTGATTATATATAAATTTAAAAAAAAATAATTAACTAATGAATTTTTAAAGATAATAAATGATAAATTATTATTATTAAAAAAAATTAAAATTTTTAAATTTATATATTTTATTATCTATTAATTTTAAAAAATATAAAAATACTATTATTTAATAAGTCTTAATAAAATAAATTTAATAAATTAAAAATTTTATTTTTAAATAGTTATTTTTAAAAATTAAAAAATTAAAAAATTGATATTATTAATGTATAATTTTTTTAGGTTACAACTGTTAAATGCAGTATTAAAGGGTTAAAGATAATTTAGATTATTCATAAATAAAATTATTTGTCAATTAAAAAAATAATCTGAATGATAATTATATATTTATTGTATAGCACTCTATAAAGTACCTTGGGTACTAATTGCCAAACTTAGGCTGACTATAAATAATACCCCTAAGGGCACTGTGTATAATGAAAGGTATACTAAATGGTGAGTATTATACTAGGGATTTAATTTATCAAAAATTTAGATAATTGGAATGATCAGTTGATCATCTTTTTTTTATATATTGAATAAAGAAAAATTTCTGTGAATTTTACAGGTATTCTAAATGCTTTAAGAAATGCAATGCAAAGAATAAATAAAATGCTAAGACAACTATAGAATCCTTTTTGATTTTAACAAATCAACTACCTATACTTACACCTATACTTACAACTACAACTATAAAATACACTTCAGAAATCTTCAGCTTTACCAAACATTATTTCAAAACAAAGTTTTATTTCTATCACTACTGAAGCTTAATCAAACTAATATATGTAAAATTAAATTGAAACTTTACTAATAAAAATAAGGAAACAAGAATAAGTGAAAGAAAAATACAATACAAAATACCTTTCCCTTGAATTTAATTTTAAAATATTTGATATGATTTGGGTTAATATAAATAATTATGTAATACATCCTTTGAATGAACGCTATTGAATCTTTAATATATTATAATAAGATATGAAAGCAAATTTTAATCTAGAATACTGCATATTAATATTAAAGTACTTTTAATTTAATTCATATCTGTTTATTAGGATCACAGTCTACTAATGGTATTGATGTATTAAAAAAATAAATGGTCATATATGCTGATATTAAATTCAATCAGAAAGATATAATAAAGGTTGATAGATATGCTAAAAGTAATTAGCTTTTCTAAAATTAAGATTAAAATAATTTTTATTTAACCTTACTTTTTTTTTAGATATCAAACATTAAGTCAAAGATGATGTATCAAGTTATAATTATGCATAAAATGCTATATTATATGAAGAATATGAGATATTAATAATAAACAATTTAATAAAATTTTAATCTATTTTATTTCATGTATTCTCTTCTATAAAAATAATATTTAATCATTAATTAATAAACCCTAAATTATCGATATTAACTAATAATTCATCTAAGAAATTATGAAATTAAATCGCAAATTTTTTGAAAATGATATATTTTACAAGAAGGTTTGAAAATATCAAAATACAAAATAATATAAAAGGTTTATTAATTTTATTATAACTGAATTAATAAATTATTTAAAATAACAAATTTTTTATATTATTAATTAGAATTTTTAGCTAATTCTCATGACAGAGTATTTAAATCTAAATGACTTAATTTTTAGTTATATATTAAATATGAGAGGTATTGTAATTTGCATTTTACAAGGAATATTATAATTAATATAGGGATGTAATCTAAAGAAGATTAGCATATATCACACCCTATATAAAAAGTAATCAAAATAAACACATTAAAAATTTTAACTTTAAACATATCAAATAAAATCAACAAAGCAAAAAAGGATATTTTTTTATTATATATATACAATAAATTATATATAATATGTCTTCACCTAATATAAATAAATACTGTAATCAAGCAACTATTACCTAAAAAAATGTCATCAATAAAATGTGTGAGAAAAATTAGCTATTTAGCTTATCTTGAAAATTATTTACAAAATAGTATTTAAGCAATAGCTACTATATTTAATATTAAATCTGTTCAAGTTAGAAAATAGCATAAACTTAAATAACAATTAAGCTTCACTTTATAT